TATCACCTCACAAGACAGATCTTTCCTGCTGACCTCCTAAGTTGTCTTGGGCTGGAAAATTACTCACCTCGACCTCTGCCACTCCAGAATTCTATTTGAGGCACGTTAGGAAGGAAGTTAGGAGTGCTCAGGTAAATCTCTGCCTTTAATCCACCATCTTGACTCTGCCCTCTTGTATAGTTCTAAAGTTTACAAAATGCATTAACTCATTTGATCCTCACCAAAATACGTGCACTAGTTATTACAGGTACTATTATCCTGATTTTACAGATGAAGAAGCTGAGGCCCATAGAATTTAATTGACTTGCTCATGGTCACACTGTTAATATAAGAAGAAGAATATAAAACCAGGTTCCTACTGATACGAGATCCAATGCTCTTTACTCTGTCATACTGTATATTGTATATATTATCACAGTATACAGCAATAGGAAATAATTGCATTGACCACCTAATAAAATCCCTACTCAAAAAAAAAATCTCTACTCTTACTACCCAATAAGTGGTCATCCAGTCTCTTCTTGAAGACTACCAAGAAAGGGGGGAACCCCACCCCCACCCTCACTTCTCCAGACAGTCCATCTCACTTTTAGACAGCTTCATCAGGAAATTTTTCCTGACATCTAGTTTAAACTTATTTCTTTGTAATTTCCACCCATGGCTCCTAGTTCTGGCCTCTAAGGCCAAATAGAACAAATGGAATCCCCTTCCAAATGAAAGCCCTTCAACTTGAACCCAACTGTCATGTCCCACCCTACCCCATCCCCCAAAGTCTTTTCCAGATTAAATGTGTTCGGTTCCTTCAGCCAATCCTCATGCATTCAACCCCTTTCATCATCCTGGTTGCCATTCTTTTAACACTGCCTAGTTTATCAATGTCCTTTTCTTTTCTTCTTTTTTTCAGAAAGACAACATTTATTGAGCACCTTTAGTGTGAAAGGCACAGTGCTCAGTACCAGGCCAAGATACAAAGATCAACACAGATAGACATTCTGCCTTCAAAAAGACTTAAAGTTCAATATGGGTTTATGTAATTAAAAAAACAAACAAACATGTAAAATAAAGGAACAATGACCTGTTCCAAGTCCTGACCAGCTGTCATTTCCACCTACCCCTAAATATAATTAATATCAGTTTTTAATTAACACTATCCCTTTAATGATTAGATATTTCAATCACTATTATTTAGTTCTCCATAGAGGATTAACTCAACCCAAATAGATACGGGAAGTCACTTCATTAATACTTTGAAAACTTTTAAAAAAGGGCAAAAATGAGTTTTCAATTGATAGGCCATCCCTTTAATGACCAGGCAATTTAATCATTATCAATCAGTTCTCCATAAAGAACCTTAACAATCCAAATAGATATAGGAAACCACTTCATTAATATTATGAAAACAGGGTAAACCCTGAAGGTGATGAATTAATTACTTTTGATTTGCTGAAAGCCTATAAAATACGGGCTAGCTATCCTTATCTTTATTACTTTGTATCCCTAATTTCCCTACTCCCAATTTGCCTGAGAATCCAGGCTGTTAGTAACTATTTTAGCCATAGTACTAATAACCAAGCCCTCCCAGAAATATCCAGCTGGACTTTCTCTCCATGACATACCAATCTCATTAAGTAGATGATTAAAGTTAGAACACTCAGCCACATCCTCAAGAACTTTTCCCACATGGGAAAAGCTTCACATAGCAAGAGAGGTGGTTTTACTCAAGTCTCCCCAAGGAACAGAGTGGAGTGTCTTTTTTCCTGTTAAGATGAAAACAATGAAACTCAGAACTGGATTACTTGGCTTTTTCTCTTCTCATCTCCTCCCATTTCAAAATTCGTGCACCTCTTAATGGAAAGCATCCTCTCAGAACTGCAGTTGGGTTCCACACATTCAAGCCTCAGTATAATCTTTTTTGTGGTCTTTGCCTTTTCCCAGAAAATTATTTTGCCACTCTGCTACTGATCAGATTGACTTTCCCCTTGCCTGTACAGGGATTCCTTGCCTTTCTTGTTCTGTGTCGCTTTGTGAGGCTGGTGCTTGCCACACTTTTTGCAGAAAGTTCTGTGGATTTCAGAGGCATTCGCCAAAGGGCAGCACTGTGCTTCCAACTGGGCTTTTCTGACGTCCAGGCTGCTGGGATCCCTTGGCTGAGCGCTCATAGGTGAACAGACAAAGAGCAGAAGACTACTGCTTAGCAGGACAGCGGAAGACTGATCAATGTCCTTTAATTGTGCTGATAAGAACTGAATATAACACTCTAGAAATCTGAGAAGAGTAGAAAACAGTGAGACTGTCATTCTCCCTTTCCCCTTTCCCCCATTCCTAAAATCTTATCTTAATGAACCCTAAGCTGGCATTAGATTTTAGTATTAGTTTTTTGGGTTTCATTACTGACCTTACTGACTCCTCTTGATCTTAAAGCCCATTGCACACTGCAGATCTTTTTCATAGTCACTTCTGTCTAAGCATATCTCTCCTCCAATTTTATAATTATCAACTTGATTTTTTTATACCCAAGTCAACATTTACCTGTATTGAATTTCATCTTTTTTTCAATCCAGCTCAATGCTATACCCTAACCCCATCTTTCTGGATTCTGATTTGTTAACCCATGTGTTAAATATCCATCCCAGCTTTGTGTCATATGCAAAATTGATGAATATAGGGTCTGTGTCCTTATCCAAGTCATCAATAAAAAAGTTAAAAATTCCAGGGCCTAGCAGCTAAGTTAGGGCACCAGGCCTGGCATCAGAAAGACTTAAGTTCAACCCATCCTCAGATACATACTAGCTGTGTGACCTGGGCAAATTCACCTCAGTTTCCCCATCTGTAAAATGAGCTGGAGAAGGAAATAGCTAATGACTCTAGTATCTTTGCCAAGAAAACCCTAAATGGGGTCACAAAGAGTCAGGCATCACTAAAATGACTGAACAATAACAAAGTGAAAGATCTGTGGGGCACTTACTCCACTGAGGTTCTTCTACCATGTTGACATTGAACCATTAATAATGATGCTTTGAGTCCAGCCACTCAACTAATCCAGCTAATTATTTTGTCATATTATTACTTAGATGACTCAGTGGATAGAGCTCTGGACTAGGAGTGAGGAAGACCTAAGTTCAAATCATGTCTGAGACACTTACTAGCTAAGCAAGTCATTCAACTTTTACCTACCTCAGTTTCTTCAACTGTAAAATGGGGATAACAATAACTCCTAATTCAGATGGCTGTTGTGAGGATCAAATGAGCTAACATTTGTATAGTGCTTTGCAAACCAAAAGGCACTATGTAAGTACTAGCAATTATTATTAATCCTCTTTAAGCCTCAGTTTCCTCAGATGCCCTTATCTAGTGGATCCATGGCCTCAGAGTCAGGATACCTATGTTCAAATCCCACCTGTGATACACACACACACACGCATACACTGGCTGTGTGACCAACCCTGAGCCAGTGCCTAAATATCTTAGTGCCTCAAACAACTCTCTAAGACTCAAAGTTGGAGAGCAGTGTTCGTCTGCATCAGAGAAGGCAATTACCTCACGTGAAACTCCCTACGTGGAGGAAATCACAGATGCCCCCATAGACATATTTATGTATATATGTATAAATCTATCTATTTATATATATATATATGTGTGTGTGTGTGTGTGTGTACATATGTATAAATCTATCTAGTTTTAGATAGATAGATTTATACATATGTACATACACACACACACACATACACACACACACATATATATATGTATATATATATATGTATACACACACACACATACATCTACCAAGTCCATATGTTGTAAGCGTATGAGGTGATCAATGTGAAAGCACTTGGCAAACTGGAAAACACATAAAATGTACAGAGTTATCATCACTCCATAAGCATTTACATGCATACTATGACTGGCATGAAATAAGGAAGAGCAAAATGAGCAGAACCAATTTGTGTACAGTACCACAAGAACAATTTGTGTTGTAAGAACTTGTGTTACGTAAGAACAACTCTGAGCAAATAAATCATTTTGACTATTATAAATACTCTAATTACAAAGGACATATGAAGGAAGATGCTACCTGCATCCTGAGAAAGAACTGATAAGTAGTAGCATGTATAGAATGATTTCACATCTATGTCTATATGCATACATATACATACATACATACATATTTATGTCTAATGGGTAGCCATGTCTGGGGGGAGGGGAGGAAGAAAAAAAAAAGAAATGCACATGATAACTTTATTATATATTTAAAAGGAATAGCAAGTTGTACATAATAGACTTGCAGTTTCATGGGCAATCATCTCTTTTATTATAATATGTTGTGGAAATGCTTATTGTACCCTATAAATTAAAATTTAAATACATAAAATTTTTTTAAATGCCTACTATGCACCTCACATGAGGATTTTACACCATAGCAGGTCTCAGTGCCCTCTCATCTTGGGTCACCAGTGCCTTGCTTGGTTCTAGGAGGCAGAGCCTGGTCAGCAAGATGCTGGAGGAGGGAAGAGAAGCTCCTCCCATTTCCCAAATGCTTCTCATACTCTTAAAATGATTCTGTCCGCCTGTCATTTGGCTCTCTGGGCTAAGGAGAGAGCAGCTCATTCCAAGTAGAGTGAGGAAAGGGAAGGACAAGAGGTAAGAATGATACCCATTTCTCAAAGCAAGGAGGTGGATGGGTGTGGAGGAGGTGGGGGTGGGGGAGGAGAAAGAGGAAGAAATACAAAACAGGCCTCTGGAGGCTTGGCTCCCGTCCCTATTCATGCTAGCAAATACTTTGGCAGTACTACTTTTCAACATTAAACCCAGATCCTGAAAACAATGCTTGTAACAAAAGACTTCTAACTTAGCTTAGGAAATATGCTTCTCCAAAGAGAGCCAGGGTTTGGGTGAGAGGAGGGATTATATTCAATGGCTGAGATATTAAAATCTCATCATTTACTGCATCCCATTGACACACTTCTACACTGTTAAGAGGCTGTCCTTGATCCACACAGAGACAATGGCGAAGAATGTGGCCATCATAGGAGCTGGGGTGAGTGGCCTGATCTCTCTAAAGTGCTGTCTGGATGAAGGACTTCAGCCCACTTGCTTCGAAAGGACTGAAGACATAGGAGGCCTATGGAGGTTCAAAGTAAGTGGCATCTCCTTGCTTACTAAATGGAGTGGATTGCTCATTGGTAAGCTGATTCTCTTTCATGATTATCCCTGATAAAAGACTTTGAAAGGTGATTTTTAAGCAAACGTCTTTCCAGCACTTCCATAAGCCACAAGTCAGATTGACATGTTTAAATTCATTTTCAGTCACTTTACATAGGCAAGACAAGTTAGCAAAGGGCTACGAGTCCAGCAGCAGACCACAGCCTATGTCTGACTTAAATTCAAGGTAAAGAAGAAGGCAGTGAGTTTCCAATTCCTGATAAGTCTTCAAGCAGCAAGTCATATTATTTGATTATGATTTGACCTTTCCATGCCTCAGTCTCCTCAGCTACAAAGTGAAGAATCATCATATCTATGGTATGGTGGCTAGATAGATGACCCCTAGCAATCAGGAAGACTTGAGTTCAAGTGCCACTTCTGACATACTAGCTATCATTTAAGCAAGTCACTTAACAGATCAATGCCTCAGACAATTAATACTTATGTTGTAGAAGAGTGGATGTTTGCTTCAGGTAGCAGTTTAACCAGAAGCTGGGGATCATTAATAGTCAGATGACTTCATTAAGAACAGCCTCATATTGCAGACTAATCACATTTCCTTTTTTGACCAGAAGATCAGGTTGAAAGATCTTGGGGATGTTTATTTGGATAAGAGAAGAAACAAAGGAAATTTGAAAACCCTCTGCGTGTATTTGCAGATTTATTCTGCCTGGGCAGTACCAGGATCAGTGGGTGCAAGCTGATGAGAGATGGATTTCAGCTAGATAGAAGAGACTAGATTGAATAACTGAAACCTATACCTGAAACCATAAGAGAAATGAGCCATCTCAGGAGCTAATGGGTTTACCCCTCCTAGGAGTCTTCAAGTGAAAGCTGGAAAGTTTTGTGGAATAGATTTCTGAGCAAGTATGAGTTGGATCAGAAGTCCCTCACAGCCAGAGGTACTGGAGCCAGTCAGAACTGCCTCCCAAGACTTGACTGGTAAATTTTCAGTGTGAACATTCACAGCTCAGAAATCAGCAAATGCTCTACAAATCAAGCCTTGATTCATTGTTGTTATTGATTTCCTAGACTTAAGAAAGTGATGGCATTGGGGGCAACTAGGTGGTGCAGTGGATAGAGCACCACCCTGGAGTCAAGAAGACCTGAGTTCAAATCCAGCCTCAGACACTTATTAGCTGTGTAACCTTAGGCAAGTCACTTAACCCCAACTGCCTCCCCGCCAAAAAAAAAAAAGAAGTGATGGAGAAAAAGTTAATAATGAAGATCAAACTTAAAAGTGTATTGTGCAGTTGTTTTACCAGCATACTTATACGCCAATCTCTAAGAACCTGTAATTATAAAGTCTTCATACAACTTCCCTGGAATACAATTGTCTTTTATTCAACCAAAATGACAATGATTCTTTTAAACTTTTTTTTCCCCAGAAAATTACTGACAAATATTTTTGTTGGGGGAGTTAACACAGTTGAACCAGTATTATCATTATTGGCTCTTTGATAAATCGTGTGATTTAGTGCTGGGAGAGACCTTAGAGATTATCTAGTGTGACACCATTTAAATATGAAGAAACTGAGGCTCTGATAGGTTGCTTGCTGTCCAGTCGTTTTTCAGTTGTGTCTAACTCTGTGTGACTCCATTTGGGGTCTTCTTGGCAGAGATACTGCAGTGGTTTGCCACTTCCTTCTCCAGCTCAGTAGATAGATGAGGAAACTGAGGCAAACAGGATGAAGGTCAGGGTCACACAGCTAGTAAGTGTCTAAGGCCACATGTGAACTCAAGAAGATGAGTCTTCCTGACCATAGACCTGGCACTCTATCTACTTCACAGCTTAGGGAGGAAGTATATTTCATTCCTTGTTCTCCAGGGATTTCAGTCAATTGTTTTTGTTTTTTATTTCCACATGGCATTGGCCTGCCAAACAACTGACTAAAAATTGTGACTGCTTCTGGACTGATATTAGGAAGAGTGGGAGTATGATCATCACTCTTGTTTTGATACTTGGACCATCTTGACCTACTTAAGGGATATCAGGGAATCCAATCAGGACCATTTTTGACCCCAATAGTTTTCATTACCAAATATGCATTTTAATAGCGAAGCATCACTGGTGTGTTTTATTATTTCCTGTTTTATAATTCAGTAGGCTTTCTTTTGGGGCGTTGGAGGGCAGGGGATAGGACAGAACTTTTCTTGGTGGTCACTCCCTCTAACCATAGGTGTTCCCCCAGGGTTCTCTCCTGGGTCCTCTTCTTTTACCCCCCTATACTACTTCATTTAGTGATCTCATCAGCTGTCATGGAGTTAATTACCATCTCTATGATGATGATTCTCAAATCTTTCTATCTTATCCTAACCTCTCTGCTGACCTCCAGTCTCACATTTCCAACTTCCTTTCAGACATCTCAGACTGGATGTGCAGTAGAAATCCTATACTCAGCATGTCCCAAACTGAATTCATTATCTTTCCTCCTAAACCCTTTCCCCCTCCAAACTTCTCTATTACTGTCTCTTTTATTTCAAGTACACACATTTATTCAGACTCTCATTAACTATAGCAGTGGCTGCAAGATATTTATGGTTAGGGATGGGGCAGTGAGTAGTAAATGAGGAATAATCCAGTCTTGGGGCCCAGTTGTGCCATAAAGAGGGAACCATGACAAGGGTCATGGATCACCTGAGTGGAACAAAAGGATGAGTGGGAGCCCTTGCAGTATCTGGGAAGGATGTACCTTGCACAAGACCAGAGCAGGCATGGCAAAGCCTGGCTGACAAAGAGCACAAGGAGAGATCCTCCCATCAAAATGTTTCTTGATCTTGAGGGAGGAAACCTCAAGGCCCTTGAGTTCATCATTGCATGCATAGCACAGAGAGTAGGCCAACGGTATAAATAATATTTTGGAGGGGGCAACTGGGCAAGGGGAAAGAGAACCCCACCTTGGCTGGAAAACCACCCCTACTGAGAATGAAGTCTCTTCTCCACTCTCATTCCCTCTCTACTATTTCTCAGGATGATGTGAAGCTTCCTAAATGTATCATGGAAGACAGGATGAAGTATCCCCCACCCCACCCCAACTTTCCCCTATACAAGGGAAGGGGGAGGGAAGACTATTTGCCCTGCTTGCCCCAGCCCTAGAAAACTAACTGGGTAAATTCTGTGCCTTTAGTTCTCCTTGAGTACCAGCTTGGCAGTCTTACAACTTCTGGGCTTCAGAACCTAGATTAACTCACAGGGCCTACCTAGGCTTCCTCAGGCAGGAGGAACAGAGGCAAAGCTTGCTAGTTTTCCAGGAACCCAAGTGACTTATTTCAAAAGATGTGAGATGTCGTTGGTGTGGGCATTTTCCTTCATTAGTACATTCTACCCTCTTTACACCTTAGTAGATTGTATTCACTAGTAGCTGTGGCCAAAAAGATGAACCATCTGGTGAGTGGCCTTCTGGTTATGAGCCCCTGCATGCTTACCTTGGCTCCATCCCATAGATCATCACTTTTCTTCCATGGTAAAACCTGTCAGAGCCTTCAAGAACCTAGGGTCACTTCACACCATCAGGAGGCATTAGAAGATTCTTTGGCCAACTCAAATGTCCCACAAAAGTTAAAAACATATATTTCAAACCCTATATGCTTACTAGGGTTGTGGAACAACTCCACAGAGCCTTCCTCACCCCTACTACCTTCCACCCCACTCCCAAGCAAGGAGAAAAAGAGTTGGATCCCCTGGAGAGGGAACTGTCTCCTGGAGCTTGCAGACTACCCAGTTCTTGGCATAAAAGACCAGGACAAGAATTCTGAAAGTGAGCCGTGGGCCCAAGCAAAACCTGATCTTAGATAAGGTGTCGTACATCTTCCCTCCCTCTTTACTTGTGCCTACCCCAATACTCTCCTCACTACCTACGCATTTTCAGCTCCCTCAAGACCCAGGACTTCCACTACCAGGTCAAAGGCACCAACTCAGCTTTAGCCAGTCTCTCTCCTCAATCTTAAGGGGTAACAAGAGGCTATGGAGAGGACACACTAAAGCTACTCAGGTCCAGGCCTGAAGGGGCATGCAGAAGGATAGTGCCTCTTGAGTCCAAGGTTCCCCTCAACCCTCTAAAATAGGCCACCCAAGATGCCAGTGGCCATGTGTCCCTACCCAGGAGCCTTTCAGTGGCTTATAACACAAACACAGTAAACCCACTGGGCCTGGGGAAGGCCTTTTGCGCAGGGCCTGGGGAAGGCCTTTTGCGCAAGGCCTGTTCTTGGACCCGTGATGTTGTATTTCCTAAAACTAGACCCAAGGCTAAAAAGACGGAATAAAATGTGAATATCTAATGACACACACATACACACACACACCAACTTGGTTTGGGGATGGGGGAGGTAGAGAGGGAGGCCAGGAGGGAAGCATGTTTTGCTTTGTTGGGAAGGAGGTTGGAAAGGGGTGGCTTTTTCTCAACATAGGGCTCATAAATAATCCGTCCCAAGAAAATCCTCTTAGTTGAGTGCCCATAGTTTCAGAATGTAGATGACCCCAATGTAGATGACTTCCTGAATCACTTTCTGTGATCATTCCACAGCCACAATACCTACAAGCCTTCTCTACCGCTATCTAGGGAGTCATCCTCCTCCCGGTCCCCCAAGCTTATAACCTAGGTGCCACCCCAACTCCTCACTATCTCTTACCCCCTCCATTTCTAAGCTATTGCCAAAGTCTTTCAATTTCATCTTTGTACCATCTCTAAAATAAGTCCCTTTCTCTCCTCTGACAAGGCTGACGCATCTTGATAATTACAATATCCTGCCAGTGGGTCTGCCTGCCTCAAGTCTCTTCCCACTTCAATCCATTCTACATTCAGCCACAAAGTGATTTTCCTAAAGCTCAGGCCTGACCATATCACCCTGCTACACAATAAACTCCAAGAACAGCTTTCATTCTCCTCCATGATCAAATACAAAGTCACCTATTTGGCATTCAAAGCCCTTCATAAG